TGTCCGTATGCGTTACTCTTTCCTCCTAGTTGTAGGACTTCCACTCAGCCAGCGTTCCTGTGGGTCTGGGTGATATCCGTTCCGTCTTTTAGTTTCACTTTTGAAGTGGTTGTTCGAGGCAGCAAACTCCGGCGTTAACCTATGCCGCCATCTTGGTTCCCTCTGCCCGACTCTCTTTTTACATGAGAATTCCATGCGTAGAGCTCTGGTGGGAGACCACGCCCCTCCATAAAAGAGGGGAACCCACCACCCCCAACATTCCTGCGTCTGCACACGGCACGCGGCTCCACCAGTCAGGCGACCACATGCCGAACTCTGGCTCAGGACGTGGTGACACAGAGGGGCCTTGCAGAGTTCATTGGCAGGGGAGGCGGGAGCAGCAGAGGCACAGTCCTAGCCCTGGGCCCAGGGCCAGGTCAGGGGGCTCGGCAGTGTGAGCAGTGGCGTCTGTGCCAGCAGCAGACAGTGGCTGCGTGGGCCCAACCTGGGCTGCACTGCAGACCCCTCACTGGCTGTGCAGCCTCAAGCCTGGCCTGTGGCTTTCCCCCAAAAACCATCAGACACAATATCATGTCTATGGTACTCCATGTCTAAACTAGAAAAAATGGGATTGCAGTGTTGGCACCAAGAAACCAGCCTGGGGAGCAGTTCCAGAGATCAGACACTCCGCGATCTCACTGGGCTGACCCACAGCCCGCTTGCAGTCTGCCCCGACTCTGCCCCACGGTGAGAATGGCATGTAATACCAACTCCATGTCTCATAGTTGACAATGTACGTCTTCCCTTTTCTTTCTGAGGAAAAAATAGGCCTTTAAATGTGGATTTGAGACACACACACACACACACACACACACACACCCGCCCCAAGCTGTCACTGACCTCAGTGGTTCCCAGTCCAACAGCCCCATCAACCCTTCATGACAAAGTGAACAAAGTCACATCCAGAGTCTCACTTTAATACGGGAGTAAGAACTTGCAGCTCAGAGCACCAGGAAATCAAGACAGGGATGTGGAGGGCCCAGCCTGGCCTCTGCTGGACAGAAAAGTGCGGGGAGGAGGCGCGGGGCCACAGGTGTGCCAGCCTCACAATCAGAGGTTCTTTATATGCATAGTGCATGAATCCGTGCACGTGGAAAGGAAATTAATTAGAAGGTAGCTGACGCAGGACTGGGAGATGGGCGGGACACGCCTGGAGCCAATCTCCCACGGTCCCTCCCAGGCCAGCCACACCTGGGGTGGCTCCGTGGCTCAAAAGGCAGCTGTGGAATGAGTGGGGTCCCTCCGGCAGGTGGGGTCCCTTGGCCTGGTCTGCGGGGATCAGGCTGAAACCAGCTCTCCAATATCCCCCGAGGGGTCCCAGAATGCGAGAGGGCACTCTGCAAAGTTGCTGTCGTACAGGGTGTGGAACGCAAACACAAGTGTGCAGTAAACCAGATTCAGGTCGACAGTGCCCCAGCAACAACATAACCCACGGCCGAAGGTGGAATCTTGCAGCCCTGGGTGGAATCCGCCTCCCTCCTCTCTGGTTTCAGGTTGCATCACCTGAGAACCACCGCTGCCAAGTCACTGCAGCTCGGCAGCTCCTGCGTTGAGCGTCTGCTCCCTGGTGGTCACTGCACAGACAGTGGGAAGGACACTTAGCATATTAGCCTATTATATATGAAGATTGATTTCAGACAGGAAGGGAGAGGGAGGTGAGATAGAAGCATCAATGATGAGAGAGAATCATTGACCTGCTGCCTCCTGCAGGCCCCCCACTGAGGATCAAGTCTGCAACCTGGGCATGTGCTCTGACCAGGAACTGAACCCTGACCTGTTGGTTCAACAATTTTTTTTTAAATTTTAAGTATTATTTTATTGTTGACAATATTACAGATGTCTCCCATTTTCTCTCTTTTTGTCCCCATCCACACAACCTCCAGCCTACTCCAGGTCTTCCCCATGCTATTGTCTGTGTCCATGTCCCCTCTCCCCCGAGCCCCTCCTGAGATGTTATTCTGTTCCCTGCTTCCATTCCTCTGGCCTTATTATGTTTTCAGTATATTTTGTTGTTTAGATTCCATTTATACTGGGGATTGATCCTGTAACCCAGGCATGTGCCCTTGACAGGAATGAAACCCGGAACCCTTCAGTCTGCAGACCGACGCTCTATCCACTGAGCCAAACTGGCTAGGGCTAAGCAGAGGTTCTTTTTTTAATATATTTTATTGATTTTTTAAAGAGAGAAAGGGAGAGGAATAGAGAGAAACATGAATTAGCGGCCTCCTACTGGGGATGTGCATGCAACCAAGGTACATGCCCTTGACTGGAACCGAACCTGGGACCTTTCAGTCTGCAGACCGACGCTCTATCCACTGAGCCAAACCGGCCAGGGCTAAGCAGAGGTTCTTGAGGCAGGAAGTGGGGCCTGAGCAAATCTTCCGTCACTCAGTCCCCACAGGCACATGCCTCACGCTGTAGAAAAAAAATAATCATGAACAGATTCAGGTCAGTTGCTGTAACTGGTGACATTCTCCAAAGTCCACTTCATGCTCAAAATGTCCCAGAGAAATCCTATTACCCATCCCCCGTCTCTGTCCAACCCCTCCCCACATCAGGGTCTCACCTTTAGAAGCCTTGAGAAGCACATCAGAGCCCCAGGAACTGTCACCTCCTGGGGTAGAACAAGACAGGATGTGGTCAGAGCCCCCAGGACAGGAGACTAAGGAGGAACTATGGGGGTGAGGTCCCCCACGGGCTCCCGTCTGCACTGTCACAGGGTCTCAGGGGTCACCTCTCCATACTCACTGGCAGTCTGAGCGTAGCTCCCTCCTTTTCCACCTGCGGGAAGCAAACACCCTGTGAGACCAGGGAGGAGGCAGGGCCATGAGGTCCTAGTCCTGGGCCCCAGAGAAGTTTCCAGAACTGTGACCACAGACCCAGGGCAGGATCAGGAAACCTGAGGAAAGTACATGTGGGGACCGGACCAACTGCCCTCCTTGAGGTCTGTCCTCCACAGGGACCTTCCACTCTGACCTCCTGGGAATCACCAGGTGAGGAATCTGTGCCTCATTTTCACATGGGCCTCACTAAGGAGTTAGTGTGAGCAAACAGGGCCCCACACTGGGCAGGCACACGTGTGTGGCTGGTGCTTCCCATGAATGAAGTGGGACACACGTCTTCCTGGGCCTGAACCCCGCACTGGGACAAGAGACTCAGACCCACCCCTTCCCCACCTGAGCGCCTCGTCTCCCACATCACAGCTCCAGCCACAGCTCCCAGCAGAACCAGGCCCCCAGCGATGCCCATGATGATGAAGATGAAGGTCTGAGGAGGCGGCTCTGGGAGGAGAAGGGAAGGGAGGTGAGGGCACTGACCCCAGGCCTCAGCCCCGACCCCACTGAGGTCCCCCAGTGCCCCTGCTTCTCTGAGAAGACGCTCTGTGCCCACGCCCCTCCTCACCCCATCTCAGGGTCAGGGGCTCAGGCAGCACCTCCTGCTGCACATGGCACGTGTATCTCTGCTCCTCTCCAGGGGTCCCCCCCACGGGGTGGCGGGTCACGTGTGCCTTTGGAGGATCTGAGGGGAGGGGAGAAAATGCAGGGACTTTGCATCTGCCATGGGACACTCCAGCAGCGCCCATGTGACCATCCTGAGAGTGGACAGACACCTGGGGTGGGAAGGGAGCACACACCAGCCTGGACTGAGTCAGCTGGAGTGATCTCCTAGTCTTCAGAAAGCTCTAGAATCAGTGACACAGCCCAGGGCAGGAGGCAGGTCTCTGAGGGGAGAAAAGGGATTTCTGGTCCTGACCTCGGTGGAGGCCACATGACTCAGAAAAGCTGAGGTCAGACCTCAGACACAGTGGGCGAGGGGCAGCCAGCAAGGTCTGAGAGAGAAGGCCCCCGAGGGTCTCAGAGCCCCCGCAGGGCCCATGGGAAGCCTGACCGATTATTTCAGGGGTGATCCCCCTCCTCCCCGGAGAGACCGCATCCTAACTGTCGGGGAGAGAAGGGTGGGAGCTCCCGCTGCCGGATCTCCGGTCTCCCCACGCAAGGAGGGCCTTGTTTGGAGGCTGACCGCATTTCCTCCTTTCCTCTTTGCAGGCCCTAGCCCGAGGGGAGAGGGGAGCCCTTCGCCCCGGTACCCCTGGTACCTGCGCGTTGCAGAATGTCCCTTCCTTTCTCCAGGTATCTGCGGAGCCACTCCATGCACACCCTCTCCAGGTAGTTCCTCTGCACCTCCGCCTCATCCACAGCCTCGTATTTGCGCAGGGAGAGCTGAGCCACCTCGCTGGCCGCGGTCCAGGAGCGCAGGTCCTCGTTCAGGGTGATGTAGTCGGCGCCGTCGTAAGCAAACTGGTCATAGCCGCGGAGGAAGCTCCCATCTGACCCCATTTCGCAGCCATACATCCACTGGAAGGTGTGAGA